TCCCACTCATAGATAGACAGACAGACATGCACCAGTGCAGACTAACCTGCTCTGTCCTTCCATGCCACACAAACATTGTCATACGCACACACACACACACACAGGTGGCCATACAGGCCTAACGCTGCTCAGTCCTCCCACTCATAGATAGACAGACAGACATGCACCAGTGCAGACTAACCTGCTCTGTCCTTCCATGCCACACAAACATTGTCATACATGCAGACACACTCTTGTAGGAATCCCTGCACCTGAGGAGCAGCATGCAATTTCAGTCAGTACTCAGAAACATATGGTCAGAAATACATTAGTTATACAGACTACAGTAGACTTTGACTGTTAGCTGTTGAGAAGTCAATGTAATGAATTGCAATCATTTGCAACCCTGCATTTTGTCACCTTTTCTTTTATGTTTTCTAGCATTTTCAATTTTTCAGTTACTTCGTACATCGATCACCCACATGGTGATATGATAAAGCTGATAAACTCGTAACTGGATAAACTTGTCTTGTCAATAATGACAATAACTTCATTTCCTGACATGGAACAACAAACTCAACCCTATGCTGGCATACCACACAACGACTGACGTTGATGAATGTGCAGATATAAAAGCGAACACAAACACAGAACGGATGCTTATGTGGACTACTGCCCTACCTACCTTCTTCATCGATGGGGATGTCTCCAAGTGGTGTTCGATATGCAGATGCCCTGGAAAGCGCACATCTCCGCGTGAAGTAATGATGTGAAGGGCCTAGGAGAAAGACCCTTGAGCTGCGTCATCAGCCCATCACACGTCCATCAAGTAAACACCATTTCAGATACCTTCCGGACTGAACTTCAGTTCAGTTCAGACACTTTTAATAGTAGTGTCTATTTCAGACTATTTCCCTCGAACTCGAAGCACATAAGACGTCCCTATCATGCAACGCCCAATTTCATTCAGATTTTTTTCTCAAATGGCAAGAAACCTGGGAGCCACATCACCCATATATCCTACATCCATCAGCGTCTTCCCCCGAACACAACGCACCCTTATTTTGGCTGTATCTGGCCGGAAATATAGCTTGTATACATTCATTTTTAGGGTGCGTTATGTTCGGGGGAAGACGGTTGCCTTCGTTTGACCGTGTTAGACGGCCTTGTTGCACAAACCTATACTTATTTTTCCAAATACGAGAAAAGACAGTGCAGCCAATGTCAAATGATACACATACCAATAGCCCACTGGAGCTCTTAGTACGTCCACAAGCTCCACAGGAATTACTTGTGTGACTCTACGTCTGCAAGAGCAGAGAAAACTCAACTGCACCACAAACATTTCCTTCTCCTAGGAGCTTGACCACCCAAACCACCTCCTGCTCGCAGATCACCAAAACGGTCAGGAGCCAGGGGCAGGGGAGGAAACGTGGGGGCAAGAGGGGAGAGGAGGGGGAAGGGGGGGTGGGGTTCTCCATCACATCACTCCCCTCATGTCCCAAGGCAAGAACAAATCAAGTCCAACGGGGTGGGAACATAAGAAGGGAAGAGAAAAGGAAGGATGCCCTTTCAAAATGGCAGAGAACAGAAAGCAGAAAGCCTACCTTATGGACAGTCAAAACAATACCCGAGACCTAGCACGTGCTATGTCCCGTGTAGCTTGCTTGTTTGTGCACGGATAGCCCAAAAAAACAAAAAACTGCTGCTGTCTGCGTTATGTTCTGGAAGAAGATGATTGCTTGTACCTTGATAGCTGAAACAAGAAACATCCTGCTCAATGTATACTGTCCTGGAAGAGGGCGCTTGTTTTTAAAATGATCAATACGAGAGGGTGGTTTCTGTGGTGGTCTGTGGGACAGATCAGCACAACTTTGGAAGGATACCCCGGGGAGGGGTCATTATCTAAAATGGAGAGACAGAACACAAGCATGTGACATACCACACGTATACAAACCTAATATAGAATTTATTTTTATTTTTATTTTTTGCAAATTTTTGGTTCATTTCCCTGTTGGATTCCGATAACGTGTGAGGGAGCGGGGGTCTGGAATACGGTGAGAGATTGAGACCGCCTTACATGTTCTTTGGGTTGATATGAGCAAATGCATAGGCTGCACAGCGTCCTGAGTACCGATACCCTGCATGGCTGATTCATCAAAACACACGCAGTCACTCCCACGTTAGCCAACATACAGAAGCAAACACACACACAAAAAAAAAAGATTGTTTTTTTCTTTAAGTGGAATTTTGGACCATTTCTCGATTTATGCGTGTCATCCTTGCTTACGCAGGGGCCATGCTAATCTTCCTTCTCTGTATCGTTCCAATTTTAACAGATGTCCCCCCGAAGGACAAAATAATAAAAAAAAAAGATTGCAAATGCCACACCAGAGACAACACAGAAAAGCGAGCAAGACATGCAGGCAGAGAGAAGACGGACCTTTGCTCATAGAAGGGAACCATAAGTTTTTAACAAATTTGTCATTGAGAGAAACAACTCACCTTTCTTATTTTCCGTTTAAAGAACGTGGTTTTCACGCGCACGCACGGCAAGGATTCCATACATCGATCACAGAAACAACATCATCCAGTTTCCCCCATGGCAGGCAGAGCAGATGGAACCATTGACAGGGGAACTTGTTACCTCAAATCCAACACAATTCTAAGTTGCTCAACACACCGCGAGACATAGGACTTTTGCAGATTTCTAGTCGCGGTTGAAGTACCGTGGCACATTCAATGCACTTCATGGTCTGATGATGTATTTCAATACAACGGTTCTCTGTTACGTTTTCTTCCTGCGCTACCCACCAACCCATCGGCCACCACTGCCCTTCATGCTGCCGTCTTCTTGTTAATGGCGAGTGGCCGGTGCAGGATCCGTTCCGGTGTGGCCCCTGGAAGCGCGACATCTAAACCGCACACTTGCATCCACTGTTTCGAATGGTGCAGTGCAGACAGATATCACAGGTCACATGGCTTCCACATGCTAGAAACATGCGGGACTGGACTGCAAGTACCACCACCCCTGGAAGCGCGACATCTAAGCCGCACACTTGCGTCCACTGTTTCCAATGGTGCAGTGCAGACAGATATCACAGGTCACATGGCTTCCATATGCTAGGAACATGCGGGACTGGACTGCAAGTACCACCCCCGGAACACTTGTCTGCCCAAAGGGCACAGTTGCAAACACCACGAACGGGACGGGCAAAAGACGTCATACTCACCCACCTGCACTGAACAACTAAAGCCACCCGTAGGTATCGGTGTATCACATCAATCACTCCCATCCAAAAAATTCCCATTAGCAACACCCTTACTGCCCTGCTCCGCCGGCGAATAAGCAACGCCGCTCCATGCGCCAAGAAATCACGCATATGGACGAAAGGTCCACATGGCACCCGCAGCTTCATCAGCTTATAAACTCCAGCCACCTCGCCTCACCTGGTAAGGAAAACTCGGCCCACGGGAATGCCACCCCACAACACAAGCCTTCCAACACCATCGCTGCACACTTTGCGAGTCACGCCTCGCACCACGGAAGCTCCCCGTGACACCAAGACTGTCACCACTCGTAGCCCCTCCGAACCCCGGTCCTCTGTACATGTCCTCCGAAACAGCAGCGGATGGGAATTACATCCACACATTCCACAGCAAACTGCCTCTTGGCCTCCTCGTGAGGATATCCGGCCGGGCCAACATCCCAATTCCAGCACAAATTGGAGCGCCAGGCCAAAAATAGAAGCTGCAAATGCGTAACGCGAGAGACCATATGTAATCCCACCCCACAACAAAAGACTTCCAAGCCCACTTCGCAAGTCATGCCTCACACCAAAGAACCTCCCTGTAACACCAGCACTGTCACCACTTAGAGCAACCAGAGAACCCCGGGCCCCGGGCCTCTGTACATATGCTCCGGAACAGCAGCCCCCACCATGGGAATCACATCCACAACAAACTGTCTCTGAGCCTCCACGTGGAGATCTCCTGGCCAACATCCCGATTTTTTCCAACGGAAATCGGAGTGCCAATATACTCCCATCCAGGCCAAAAATAGAAGTTCCAAATGACACCGTACATAGTCACACCAAGAAATAAAAACAAATCCAAAAACAACACTGAAGACTGGCTCGATAGTACGAGCCCAATCCTAGCTGCTCAATCCACCACAGCCACAGCAGAGAGCTAGCAAGATGTGCATATCTGTTGTGCATGTCATCACCACACATCCTTCCCAAATCCATCCATATCCATTGAGGGTTAAATGACTGCAAGGCTTGGCCACCTTTGCGTGCTTAAGCGACAAGCATTAACAACTTAACACACCTGTCTGCTCTATGAAAGGGGCACACGTGCACATGTGAAAGAAGGGGACAAGCAAGAAACAGCACACTCACCGACCTGGACTGAACAACCAAGGCTGATCATGATGCTCTAAGTGTGAAATTAATTTGGCGGTGTGTGTGTGCTGGCCTCGTTCGACACCACTTGAAAATACTTGGGTTTCAAGGGCACCCTAACTCACGGAAGGTGATTGATTTCCCCTAACTTGTTTTTTAATTCCCCTTGAGGAAACCCTTGAGACGACCGTCCTTGAAAGTGAAGTGCTGACGGCATTGCACCAGGAACAGTGGTGATTGGTGGGAGAAAAAAAAAAAGAAAAAAGAAAAAGGTCCGTATATTACCCCCCTTTTGAAGGGTCCAGCCCTTGCACCCCAAGTGACCTCCCGAGACACCCTTGGGATTTTCGTTGATTTGCCTGTGCCGCACTTCCGTTTCAACAGCGGACACTTGGCCGCGGGGATGTGGAAACAATTAGCGACTTCAAGGGTGCGTCATTAGGCCGGGGTCGAACGACGCTTCCTTGAAAAACAGCAATTTCCAAGTGCTGTCGAACGACGCCCTGACTGGCGAAGCAGAATCTGTGTACGAGGTTGGCAGAAATACAGGAAAAATCAACCTTGGGGAGTAAAGACAGGGGTGTAGAGGTGAGGGGGAGAGCAAGTGGACTGACGGTGCTATCGCTGCCTGGGCACTGTCAGACTTGAGCACCGCTGTTGCCGCCAGCCACGCCTCCAGCTCCTGAGATAAGAGCCTTGCTGCAACATTGACAGACGAAGCCCCCACACCCGTCCCCACCCAGCTCCACAGTCAAACCACCACCAGTAACAATGCCACACCTTCCCTCCCAACATAACATCTTTCTCTCTCACACCATCCATGAATCCCACCTCCCGAACATATAATGCCACCCAAAGAGCCCCATCAAGATACCCGCCGTGTTTTCTTTGAAGTTTTCTCCAACGACTTTCGCCTATGTCCTATGATCAGTACAATGTGCCCTTTTGTTTTCCCACACCAGAGTTGCACAGGTCAACGGTTGGCTGATCGGCCCTACCGGTCAGCAGTCGTCAGCACCCCGCAAAAAAAAAAGAAAAAGAAAACAAAAACAATAACCCCACCAACAACCCCATACCCCCAAACACCCATAAACCGCTCCCCGACACCCTCATACCCCCCTTCCCCCCCCCCTCCCCCCCCCAACCCCCCGTCCCCCCCCCCCCCCCCCCCCCCCCNCCCGCCGTGCCCCCTCCATCCCCAACAGTTTCTCAGCGGATTTGGGCTGTAATCAACAAGTGCAGTACAGCTCCATTAGTCACATTAAAAAAATTTCAGTGGATGGCTGTTTACTGACTGGTCGGCCCTTCCGATAGGCTGCAAAATGGTCGGTGTAGGCGGTCGGCAGGTGTGCAACCCTGTCCCACACCCATTTTCATTTTCAAGAACCTGTCCACCATTTGTTTACAGAGTATCACATTCATGTGTGCCATTACAATTGACGCCATATTAGTCCGTAGATGATTGAATGACCATAACAAAATTAAACAAATATTACAAATCTGTTTGTTTGTTTTCTTTTTTTTTTTTTTTTGAACCTAGTTCCAGACAATGGCATGTGCATGTGTCTGTTCCACATGTCGACATTTGGTGCACATATCGCAGACAGCCGTCCGTCCGTCCGTCCATCCATCCATCCATTCTAGTTCCAAAACGGAACCGTGAGCAGCAAAGTGCTCAGAAATCAGCGAACAACAGCCAGCCACTAATTATTATCAAAATCAAGGAAGCAGACCACAAACACCAAAAGAAAAGAAAAGACGAGATGAGGAAGAACAGACAATGTGCAGCGAAAGGCAGGAAATAAAAGCAACTCTACTTTTATCAGGATGGAGTGGAACTCAGCAGCGAGAGCTCTCGCTCCATGCCACCCATGGGTTGGAGGCATTGTTGTGATAGGAACTGCTGAGCGCCCTGAACAGCCATTTTTACGCCATTCAAATAAGTTCGACCTCTGGCTGCCCATTACTTAGTCCACTTACTCGAAGCATTCTTCATTCCGCGCAGAACAATGCCGGACCAGCAGACAAATGAACACCTCCCCAAGCCAAAACAAATGTAACCATGGAGAATGGAGCAAAAAAGGAAAAATTCCCATAACTGGCATAAACCCAGCATCAACCATGGATGACAGATACCCCTTCTTTTTTTCACAGCTTCGAGCTCAAAAGTGAGAATGCCACAGTGAGCTCAGAAATTATCATAATACCCTTCAAAGAGTGCAGAGTTGACTCTTCAGAGTCTTCACCAGTTTTCAGCGGCCACGACGGCTACTCCCTAATTAGTTGAGCATACCTCAACAGCCAACTGCATAGGGGACTCGGTGGGCAGTTCAGCAAATGGGGCCATCGGTACGGAAGATGGGGTAAACAGCAACGAATGCAACAGAGGCGGCACCGGCATTAGCCGTTGTAACATAGCAGAGATGACAGTGGTGATGGCACAAAGCAGCGGTAGTAGCAGCACCGGTTGTAATAGCAGTAGAACCCCCTCCCCAGCAGCAGCTGCATCGGTGGTGTTGATGATGCTGCCGTCTTCGCCTGAATAGAATGACGGGTCATTATGGACGTATGTTCGGAAACTCCTATGATTCCTACCTACCTATGTGGTGGTCCCCACGATGAGATGGAGAGAGATGGTCCCCAGGGGTAGATGAACCAGAGAGATGGTCCCCACGATGAGATGGGAGTCATAGTATACACATAACTCTGCATATATGTGGGGGAATAAATAAGCTGCTGTGCTCTCTATCTATTTAAACACCAAACAGGCAAAAACAAAACAACACCAGAGAAAGAGAACCCCCAGGAGCTGTTCATTTTGTCTCACAAAGTCCGTCTCGTCTGCCAGGCCTTTTTGCATGTGCGACCTCCAGTCCACTTAGGAGGAGCGTGTGCACTGCTGTCTTCCCCTCGGAGAGGACTGACCTGCGTCATGCTTCAGCCATCATCTATCGGGGGAGGGAGGGGAGGGTGTAGGAGCAAGCAAAGAACTGTGCGGATAAGACTGGCCAACGTAAGGCCCCACTACTGTCCATTTTCTTCACAGTTATGCTGGGGTCAGACGGATTGAAAATCACATCTCCTTCACAGTTTGCATGTGTACTTAACCCACCAGTACCTCTCCCACATATCGGTCGTGGGCCCCTCACCGTGACTTTCTGAAGCCCAAAAGGCAACCTGGGCCGCTGATGAAATTTATCAACGGTGGCCCAGCCCTGAAAGTTGCCCGTGTTAACCGCCGGATATTTGTTCTTCAAGCAGGGAAAGGTGCTTCCTCGTGCTTTGAGACTGTGTGCACCCCTGTCTTCCCCTCCGAGATGACTGGCCTCCTTATGCTGCAGCCATCATCCACTGGGGGAGAAGAGGGGGGCAGGGGGAGGGGAGGTAGGAGCACAAAAGAAACTGTGCAGGTAAGTCTGGCCAGTGTAAGGGCCCACTACTGTCCATTTTCTTCACGGTCGCGCTGGGGTCAGATGGATTGAAATTCCCCCACCCACCCCCCCTCCGTTTTCTCACACGGATCGACCTATGATTTCACACGAAGTTTTTGCTGTGTAACGCCGGGCTCATTCAATCACAACCAAAACTTAAACCACCAGTACTTCCAAGGCACTTTTCTCCAGGGCTGGAAACGTGCTGCGCGCCAAAGAAAAACGAGCCGGCACACACCTTCTGTTGGCTGGCACCACCAGCCATTTTGCTCCAGAGACTGAGCCCGGAAAGTTGCGGCTGCATGCACGCCGCGACTTCGCCAGCCATTTTGCTTCGGAGATCGAGCCCTGAAAGTTGCGGCTGCATGCGCGCCAGGACTTCGCAAGCCCTTTTGCTCCGCAGCCCGATCACGACCAATCATTTTGCTCCGGAGACTGAGCGCCAAAAGTTACGGCTGCATGCATGCCGCGACTTTGAAAAAATGGCTGGGAGGTATACTGGTGGCTTAATTTCACTAACCATCGCCATAGGCGCTTTAGGAAGGAGTTTGACAACCAGCTCTGATGTCGACTTGGGAAATTCCTCCCCAGCACCACTAAAACTTCTCATGAATTTATCTGACCGCGATTCCAGTCAAAATCAACTAAAGATGTCAGAGTGTGCGTGTGTCCTGAGCACCCACCGCTTCCCCGTTAGAGCTGTTTCTCCATGTCAGGGAGGTTGACTGGACATGCCGCTGTTGTTTCCGTTGTTGTTATTCCGCTTCTTGTCTGTTTCCGTTTTTTTTTTGCTATTCTGCTTCTTGTTGTTGACGTCTTCGTTGTTGTTGTTGTTGTTGTTGTTGTTGTTGTTGTTGTTGTTGTTGTTGTCGTTGTGCTCCTTTTGCTTAACCTTGTCGGTGTTGTTGTCGCGGCTCTTGTTTCGAGTTCGAGCATTCCCCCAAAAAGAACAACCATCTGGCCACCAAGAATAAAAAATTAGAAAACGCAACAGCAGAGATCTTGGGGGGGGCAGGGCCCACTAGAGGCATGCTTGCCTCTAGTTATGTCCTCAGCAGATGCTGCCACCGCCCATCCATCCGATCACTCATGTCAACAAACACATCTTCTGTAGGGAACGACTGTGTCCACCCACACAGCGGATTGGATCAACCAACTTCAATCGTATTCAGGTGCGCTAGTGGGCCCTCCCTTCAGGTCAGTGCCCCACCAGCCACGTGAGAAACCGCGGCCAATCAGACAAAATGATGCTACATCGCAACTGTACCTTGACACGATCCATGGCCCCCTGGGACGACCCACTTACATGAATTCTTCAGTTTCGACCCTTGATCTTTGTAACCTACGGCGGGACGCAATAAATCAAGGTAACTGGGCCCTTGCCCCTGGTGCTCTGACAAAAAGGTCAGACCACAGACACCCCATGTTTTGATAACACGTCACAGGAAACACTTTCTCGGGTTTACATGCACTTCAAAACATTCCGCTCTAAGGGTACATGATCACACGGACAAGACTTTCCCAGATATGTCTCGATGTAAGCACGACCAGATATATTGTCAGACAAGTCAGTCACCACCCCACAAAGTGTGTTTCCCACTTGTCTCTCATCTTTCCTTCTACCATTTTCCACCCGTCTGGGTGGGGAAATACCTTGCTTGCGCCCCAAAAACATCTACCACCCAAACCTGCCCTCCTAAACGCAGGCCTTCCTACTGCCCCAATAGAAATCACACATTCGCTATCAGCAACTCTCTAAAGGGGACGCATCAGGAAGAATGAGAATCATTGCATGAAATGGCAATCCTGCAATTTTCTAAGAAGACTAAGACAAAGTTGACGAACATAACAATAGAAATAAAGACAATGTGCATGCCCACCACATTGTTCCCCAATGTCAGGCTGGGATCCCACTCCTGTCAGAGAAGAACCTAACTACGGGACCCGCTGTGGTGTTTTTTTTTCCCTCAAGTTAGCGATCCTTGCATATTCACCTTGCCTAGCCTACTCTGTGTGTCTCTCACACGTCCTGAAAAGCCGCTCGGAGGCCAGGTTGTAAATTGTTTTGACAGATTCTTCATCTGTATGAATGTGGTTTTGAGGACGGCCGTAAGGTCACCTACGGTTATCAAAGTGTGCGACCACCTATAGTTATCAAAGTGTGCGACCCAACTTCACACTAGGGACACAACAGTGGAGGAAACAAAGCCCGAAACGACGAACCCAGTTAAACAGGAGCTTGTCTCCGTCTTCACCCGAATAGAACGC